TTGATTTGAAATTAATTATTAGAAATTGATAAAAGAAAATTTCCCTTTGTGGAATTTAATTTTCCAATAAAAAAAAAACTGATTGAAATCATAAAATAAATGTTCAAAATGTAGTTAATTTTTATAATTTAACCTTTCAGCTGTATAATATATATATATAATATATCAAATATATATACATATATATATATGTAATAAAAATTTCTGTTTTCAGTTAAATTTACAATTTATAGCTCATATGAAAGAGTATATCAAAGGTCAAGGCATTTTGTTTTAATTTATTATCAACCGTTCATTAATGTTTATTTTTAATTGCAACGTCAACGAGATACGTCAACATGCCAATAAATCAGATTTTTATATATAAACAGTTATACGATTTAGTTGTCTGTTATTGCAAATGTCAAAATTCATTTCGATCAGAACGAAAACCAAAGAACAGCCAAAGCTAATTAAAGAAAAACAAAAACAAGTTCGCACGACAAGAAAAGCCAAAACATCAGCTAATTAAGAACCTAAAGATAAAGCACTTGTTGGCCACAACGGGGAATTGCAGTGCAATCCACCCACAATCGAACCGAGAAACGAAACAGAAACTGAAACAGAATCAAAGCCCAAGACAAAGACCCAGCCTAGAAAACTAAAAAAAAAAAACACAGATTGCAAGCCCTGCAGTTTTTCACGCCCCTTTTAGCACACGGGCAATTGTTTTTTGTCTTTAGGTATTTTTTGTATATTTTTTAGATACGGCTGGAGATCTCATTATGAGGCAGCACCGCTCTATAAGGTGTGCCCTCGCCATCGTCACTCGCTGCCACGCCCCAAACTCAAAACTCTGTGTACTTTCTAATACATGAATTAGGAGTCGACATCGACATCGACATTCGATATCGACACCATGTGAACTTGGCCAATTCGGCGATTGTCAAACGAATGTCGAATGTTGCCAATTTATAATGTAAACGGACTCCAATTGGCAGTCTCATTCACTCCAATCGGAGTGCAGCAGTTCCTCCAGCGCTTTTGCTTTGTTAGCAAAGGTCATTTGGCCACCTAACAAGCCCAATTTAATTCATTTAAAGGCGCACAACGATATATACCAAAAAATATAAATTGCTAATTTATGTTTATTGTGCATTATTTGTACTAGACAATAGTCCCGGTGCACTGTTCCAATCCGAAGTTCCCTTTGGCAATGCGAAATTGAATTTTTATGCACTTTATAGCAGCGATATATCTATATATAGATATACATATATATTTTAATGTTTTTTTAGTTGGCCCACTGATTGAAATTTATGAATGCTTAGCTTTATTTTTTGCTGTCTTTTTTTTCTGCATTTATTTATTATTATTATTTGTGCGTTTTTTGTTTGTTATTTATTTTTATGTTTATTTTATGTGGACTCTGCGTGTAATTCACATTAAGTTTTATATTTATTCGAGTTGTTTTTATGGCAAATTTTAATAATAGTTTTTTATAGACCTTATTTATGTTTATGTTTTCATTAAGCTAGGTCAGTTGCATTCTTGAATCTCTTTGAAGATTCTCCCATTTTAGTAAAGCCAAGTATTTGCAATAATTTTATTTCGTTAGTTAAGTAAATAATTATATAAATTAAACAGAAAAACACGCTTTAACACGTTAACAAACCAGTGAATAAATTTATGCGCGCTGTTCATAATTTGCCCAGCAAAAAAGTCTTTAATGAGCCGCCGCGGCTCTGGCTTGGCGCTCGGCAAGTTTTAGCCTTTTATGGCCAGTTTTTAGCCTTTTTTGCGGTATTTTATGCAAATCGAAAAACAATAAATTTGTTGTCAATGCCTAACAAATGCGACTGTCAAGTGCAACATGCTCCATTGTGAACTTAATGTGAGCATTGTGAACCATTTTCGTGGCATCATAAGTTTGTCCGCTTTTTTGTGTCTCTCCCGCATTGAAGCTGAACTTTGTCATTTGCCTGAGAGCCTGGAAAATCAAGTCACCGTTGAATAAAACCTAAATAAGAGAAGAGAGACAAAAGATAGGAAAAGCAATGGGAAAACACACAATTGAACACTATCAATCGATGCGCTTTGATTGACTGCCGGCAATTCGGCAATAAATTGTAACAAACTTTTTTTATGCTCTTCGAATAGTTGTTTTGTAATGAATTTATAGAGTATTTGTTCAGTGGATATATCGTGATTACAATATGATTTACTGCATATAAGTACTTTGCTCAGGATAAGATACAAAACGAAAGTTATATAGATCTGAAAGTGCTAAAATTTACTTATTTTAACAGTTGAGAATAAAAAATTAAATAAAAATGCGAAAAAAAAAAATTAAAAAAAAAAAAAAGAAAATACCAAGATTCTACCCAATAAAAAATATGTATTATTATTAAAATCGAGAGAAGTAGAAAGAGAGAAAGAGAGAGAGAGATAAAGAAAAAGAAAGAGATGTGTCTACTTGTATAAAACAGTTAAACCGTTAAACTAATGTAAAGAACTTTCGAATGTATAGAAATATGCCACAAAAATAACTGAATAAAAACCCAAATCCAAGTTTTACCAAATATTTGCAACCTAGTTAGTGTATCTTCTATTTCTATGTTATGCAAATGGATCTCTAGCTAGACTCACATACATATGTCTATGTATACCCCCTGGGGTGGAATTTCGCGCATAGTGTCACATGTCAAATGATGCCGCCTTTAAAGTTTCGCCGCTAACCGTGAAACAAAACATGAATGCAATTTGCATTTGGCGCCGCAGCTTCTGCCGCAATTGAAACGACGTGTGGGGCATGTGCTACAGATATGCAGATAGAGATGCTATAGATGTACGTGTATATACATATGTATATGTAGATATGTGTATATACGACATCTTGATATTGGCACATGTTTTGCTATGCAATTTTAGCGGAGCTTCTGCAGCTGCCTTTGATTGATTTGTTTTGCCAAGTGACGCACAACATGTCAAGATAGCTGCTGATTGGAATGGTATGGAATTGGAATGGGAATGGGAATGGGAATAGGCATGGGAATGGGCTTGATGTGTGGCGTCTCAAGTGGCACAAGGTCTACGGAGTGAATATATTTTTCGCACTAAACGCGCTGACACATTTTAATAGGCAGCTGCTTTGCATTTGCTTTGCATAAATTTATTTACACATGCCGATTAGGGCTGAATGGCGTCGTACCGAAACTAAGCCAAAACACACATTTGGTATCCATTACGGATGCTGTGCGAGGGGCAGATCTGTCAATCAGAAAATCAAATGAAAAACATAACTCAGCGAGAAGTCGCCCTCAGCTTTTGATAGATGACAATACGGAGTAGAAACCGAAGAGGAGGCAGAAGAAGAAGAAGAATGAAAATATGTTTCTTTTTTTCTTGTTTTTTTGGGAAAGTGTTTTGTTTTGGTTTTATTTTTTCTGGGTTCTGTGTGAAAGTTGTAGCCAGACAAAAGTAGAAGCAAAGAAAGTTGCCTGATAATTGGCCAAAGGTCGTGAATCTCTCGAAGACTCTTGGTAGATTATGCAACACGCTTCATTTCCATTCAAATCTCTTCAACATTCTAGACAAAAAACCAAACAAAGTGAAAGCTAACATCAGCCGAAGCAGCAGAGGAATAAAAAACATGAACAATTTTGTGAACTCATCCTAATGCACTTTCAATTTCGAAAAAAAAAAAAAAAAACAGCTTACAAATATTTTGTTGCGGGTGTAAAATTTCTAATACCCAAATAAACAAATTTCAAGCTGAGAAGCCCACAGAGAGATGAAATGAAATGACAGAGGGAGGGGCAGAGGCTGTCGGAGAGAGAGAGATCTTTATCAGCTCAAGCTTAAGCTTTGAGCTCTCCAGAGAGAGAGCTTATTACAAATTCTAATCGCATTTCATTTCGCTTACACTCACACACAGACACACAAACACACATACATGGTTTATTTGTGTGGCTCGTACATTGGCCTGGTGTCGAGTCGATGAGGCTGTCGCTTATCGATTAATCACCAAATTAAAAATTACTAAGCCCAAAGCGTGGAGCGTGGCCGAAGGCATCGCGATCCCCCCGCTCCTACACTGCTCTTTATCGTCTCCCTCTTCTCTTATTATTATTATTATTTTATTTAGTTTTTTTGGCAACCCAATTTAAACAATAACTTGGAGTAGACAGTAATAACCGCACTAATTTCGATTCGCTTTTAGACCTATTTCGCAGCTTGAATTGACCATTGTTTCCGCAGAAATTCCTAGTTTCCCTTTGTTTCAAATGTCAACACTCATCTAGTATTATTTACGATAATGGCGATGAAATTCCAAGGAAATAGCAAACAAACTAATTGAGCCATGTGTTACATCAGGCCCAACGCCCAGCGCGATAGAATGTATAGTATATACATTTATATAAATATATAACAAAGTCGTAAATTCATTTAGCATGAGCAAAGGGAAACCGAATATATGCAAATATTGTGGAACAAATAAAGAATATTTTCCCGCCTCCCTACAAAAAATAATGCTCATAAATTACACTTTGAAGCGCCGCCTGGCGGCCAATTAAGGCACACTGCAAGCGGGTACAAAGTTCAATTTGATATCAATCGGCGTTCGGCATTTTCATTGGGCAAATTAATTTAATGCTCAGTAAGAGATTTTCCAATGCTTATCACAAATTTGTCATCAGCTCGTTGTAATGCGATCACACACGCACACACACTTACAAGACACAAACACACACGTATGGGAAGTTTAAGCTGGAGTTGGAGAGCACACATGCGGCTGCCGCTACTCATAATGAAGTTGAGCGTGGCTTGCAGATAATGATCAAACAGACCACGCGACGCGACGCCAAGACACACTCACACACTCATACGCACACACAGAGGCACATAGGAAAGAATTGCAAGCGCCGCGTCGCGCCGAGCGCTCTCGCTCTCTCTCTCTCAGCCGATTCGGCTCCAGCTGCTTGTCAAACAAGTTGCGTGCGAAGTCGGCTGCGCAGACGTATCGTATCGGCCGGCGCAGTCAGTTTACTTTTGGCGCTCGTCGCGTGCACAACGTTAAGCGGGCAGACACAATAGGCGGCACAGAACGTAGGTGTAAACTTGACTTTGACTCTCACGCTCTCCCACACCGTAAAGTGCGATCGTACGTGTGCGTGCGTGTGTGTGTGCAGTTCATTCGAATGCTCGCTCGTTCACTTGCAAAGGCTGACCGTGAAGTTTGTTCTTTTTGCATGCTTATAAGCTGAGTAACTGTAACTGTGCTTTGTTGTTTGTGTTTTGAGTTGTATTAATTTTTTGCTTTTGCTTTGCGCTTTGTTATTGCCGCTCTGCACTCTCCGCCAAGTTCATTCACGTTCATTCACGTTTCATCACCGCTGGCCGTCTAATTAAATGTAATGCAACGCAAATATCGAAATCGAGTTTAAAGCTAATTGCAAATTTAACAACATTATTTCTTGCTGCTTGTTGGTTGTTGTATCTTCGCTTTGTTTTTGGCATTTCGAGTTCATATCCATATTCATATTCGCATCCATTTCCGTTTCGCCTCGCTGTGCATTCGAGCGCAACAATTAATTGCATTCGTTTATTGTTGATGCAAATAATTTAAAACATTTGAAATTAACTCTTGATGATTGCCTTTGAAGAAAGTGAAATCTCTTTCTCTCTGGCTACAAAAAAAAAAAAAACAGAAACACATATGGCTAATACTATAATTATGTTAATTTTAATAACAGTTAAGTGTTAACACAGTTTATTCGGTAACAAAGAGAAATAATCATAATAATACTGAAATATAAAAAACAAACCCTAAAAGTGCAAACAAAACGCAAACTGTTTAAATATTTTCTCACAAAAGCTACACAAATACAAAATACAAAAATAAATAAATAAATAAATAATGTGTGCAAAATTTATGCAAAAACGAAAGCACCAAACATTAAGCAAGAGCTCTTAGAAAGGTATGTAAAGCCAGCTAAAAATAGACAAAATCTCAAATGAAAGTGATCTAAATGAAATATATATATTTAAAATAATAAAATATTCTAAATAGAGAGTGGCTTAAAATGATAATTCTCTTAAAATTATTTATTTAAATAGTATAACTTTTGAGTAGTTAATAACAGTTAAAATTAAATGTAATTAAAATTGTATTTCTGATGTTTCACTTTCATTTTAGTTGATGATTTATTGAAAAGCCTAAGGCAGCCAAAATTATATACATATATAAACCAATTACATTTCAAACAGCATTTCCTTATTCTTCTCTAGATTGTCTTTAATCACATTTCTATACTCTGCTCTGCTTTGCTCTGCCTGATCTTTAAGTGAAAGCTCTTGCAGCTCAGCCACATATTGTTCGGGTTCCTTTAATGATGTTAAATTGCGACAAGTGGAGCGTTTCTTTTATTTTCATATACATATGTATGTATGTATAGTTGTTGCCTTAATTTGTTGTCTTTTCATTGTTGTTCCACTGACTTCCTCTCTGGCATTTCCTTAATCTTTAGCCCACTTTGTGGCTCCCTCGCCCTCTCTCTCTCTCTTTCTCTGTCTGTCAACCTTTCACACTAAAGTTGCCTTGTCATTGGATTGTGGGGGCAACTCTGGCCGACATCATTTGTGACACATTTTCATAGAGACAACACAGCTCGCGTGTTCTTCGGAGAGACAAAGAGTTCGCATTTGTATGCCATTGGCAAATATTTGCTGGCCAAAATGTTAAAATGCCAAAATGCTGAACTACTTTCGAAAGGGAATTAACATACATACATATATTGTGGTGTTAAGGCAGCCCCAGCCCCTCTTTGTTATGGTTGTTGCTGTTGTTGTTGTTGTTGATTTTTGCTGTCGTCAAATGCAGTGGCAACAATACAATAAAGCGCACCATAAACATTTACCTACTTAACTTAGCCAGCCGTCCCGCTGACAGTCGCTCGACGCTTGCGTTTGCTTTCATTCAAATATTTGCATTCAAACATGCACAAATTGTTCACAAGTGGGCGTGGTCAAGAGGGCGATGCGCTTTGCGTTCTATATGTGCAACTCCAGCTGTCAAAAAAAAAATGAGTCTAGAACAAATATTGCTAAAGACTGTCTGATACCCTGTTTGCTAAATAATAATAAAGATTTTTAGAGCTATGAAGCAGATTTTAAAACTGAAAATAAATACAGCAATAGGATAAACTATTGCCTTAATAAAATTATATAAACTTCGTGCTTTTAAAATTGTAGAATTTTTAATTAGGGAAGTGAAGAAATAGAAGAATGTTAATAAATATTTATATATATATTTTTTAATAATTTTTAAAACAATATAATAAAATATAAAAATGAATATTTATTACACAGCAATTTATTAAATATTAAGACGAGTTTAGCTTTAGTTCTTATACTCAGATTTCAAGATTTTATATATTATATTATTCAAGATTTAGTTAAGAAAATTCGAATCAAGCTCAATCTTAGCTATATTTTTCTCGCAATCAATACACTCATTTAGCACTCTGTCTATGCTGAGCATAAAAAAATAAATGAATTTCGAAAAAGAGGCCGCAGCTACAAAATAGTTGAAATTCGCTTGAAAGCTAAACATTTTTTTTATGATTCGCCTTATTTGTTTTTGTTGCTGATTTTATTTGTATGTATCTATATAGATACATATACGTATATGTACATACATACACCTTATGTTTGTCCGTTTGTAAATTTTCGCGTTTGTGACAAGAATTTGCAAATGTCAACGAAAATTGCGCGCTTCACATTAAATAAACGAAAAAAAAAGACAAAAGCGAAGAATTCGACAAAAAGGGCCGAAGTGGAGCTCAATGCATGGAGAGGTAGAGATAAGAGTGGAAATACCAATGCCCCAAAACGCGAACCAATTGAAATTGTTTTATAAGTCCAACTTTTTTACTTTATTGCGTTCGCTTTTGGTTTAATTTTATTTAGTTTTTTTTTTTTTTTTAATTTTTATTTTGGGGCATTTTGTGTTTGGCATTTTTAAAGAGCTTTGCGACATCAGGATCGTAACGCAGCGTAACGGATCCGATCGTATCGGTATTACATCAAAGTGAAAACGATCATTCAGTTAATGAGTAAATATGTGAAAACTTTGCCCAGAGCTAAACTTTAATAATTGCGGACATGCGCAAAAAATTTGACTCTTTGTATGCTCGCATCTTCGTATTATCCATTTACTGAAACGTGTTATAATTCCCATGCTGTAATAATGCTTAACTGTACAACAGTATAAAAGTATAACAGAATAACAGTATAGAAGTATAACAGTATAGCAGTACAAGTCTAGAAATGTATAGGAGTAGAACACTAAAACCGAATTGCATAAAAAGAGGAAACAGAATAGACAAGTCTAGGGGTATGTATATCAATACTAAAGGAGAATAGAAATTGAGTCAGTTTTAGTATAGTAAAGCCTTATTTTTATAAGTAATATTAACGTATATTATGTTAAGGAAATGAATATTCTTTTATAATGCATAGCATATTTATATATGTAAGTATTTCCATGTATTTAAATGGTTCTTTCGTAATGCGAAAACATTTAATACAATGAAAGGGCTATACAACAGCCAAACGTGACATTTTGTTAATAATTTTTATTATGTGTAACGATTTGTGTAATAGCCTATCGAAATATTCATGTAAATTTCATTAAAAAACCAAGTTAGAAATAGAAAAATAACCTTTGTTTGCTACGAATTTATCAAAAGAAAAAAGAGGTACAAAATTGATAAAAAGTATTCCGTTTGTATTTCTTTTTAAAGTACTTACAAAACATTTTCACCCTTTGCTTTGTCAATGAAATTTGCGCTTGGCAAAAAGAAGAAGAAGCAAAGGTAATCGACTTGAAAGTCACCTGCTTGTTAGCAGCATTTGGCAGGTGTAATTATAGTAATGCCTTTACAATATTATTGCTGTTCGAGTGTGAAGTGCGAATGAATGAAAGGGAGAAATGTTAATATTATTATTTATAGAGTCTGATTGTAGCAATTTGTTTTTAGCCAATGATGCATCAGAACACTCCAAGTAGGCTTCACAGCTATTTACGTCCGCTGAATACAAGTGAATGCGTTGATTACCTGATTGGCCTTGTCGCTGTGGAAGGTGCCACAATTTATATTGATAGTGCTCGATTTATTAGATACTTGCGCTGATAGCCAGAAAGGTGATGGAAGCATTTGCTTGATGTCATCAGCGACACGAATGAGTTTTGATTTTTCTTTCTTTCTCCTCTGTCTATTATTATTTTGCTTCTTCTTTTTTTTTTTTTTCTTGTGTGTGAAGTCATAATGAACCGAAATGAACGGAGGTTTCTCTTCAACTAATTAGACCATAAAGCAGCCGACCTGGCTGGCCGAACTAATTCGCTTCAGATAAACCACAACAAAGGTCACGCTTTAATTGATAAGAAAACACAATGCCGTCTGTCTTTGGGAAAAATATTAAATCGCTTTTCCAAGCCGAAATGCCGGCTACTGTAGCCTGGCGAGTCACTCAAATGGAAATCCTCAGGGGCAACAATGACAGCGGCAGCGAGAGAACCCCAACGAGAACCGAACTGAACCCAAAGTGAACTTGAAGTGCCAGCTGTGCCTCGATAAAGATCACAGCCCGCGTCACAGTCACAGGTGGAAGTGCCTACAACGATCATCGAATGGAAGAAACGCGAAAAAAAAAAATGAGAATCATGCCGCAATTGAGTGCACTTTTCATGCATACAAAATATATGTATATAGAGCAGGACTGCTAGATGCCCTGTAAAAAAGAATTGAAGTTCTTTAAAATTCTTATTCCTTATTCCAATATTAATTTCTTAAATTGAGATAAACAGATTTTAAAGTCAAAGAGCACACATTATAATTATTTATGATACGTTCTATTTATTATATAAGAATTCATCTGTCTTTCTTAGCTTCCATTGAAAGACTTGCCTGCGCTCATTCGCATATAATTAGCATGCCTTTAGCTGCATTCTGATTACAGGGTATTCGCAGCAAAACTTTTAATAGTTTTGAACCTTTTTCGAGTCACTTAAATTGCGCAGCGAAGCGTGCTCTCTTCAACTCATCCTCCACTCTCCTCGCCATCCTCACTCCTTCTCTCTCTCTCTCTCTCTCTCTCTCTCGGTCTCTTAACACTCAGCTGCCAGGTACGCCCTTTTTCAACACTGCTCTAAAGAAGGAAGATTAAGAATGGGACTGAGAATAAGAATGGGGGAATGGGGAAACGAGTTAATGGGGGAATGGGAATAGGTCTGGGCCGGAGAGAGTAATTAACCCATGTTGGCCATTTGTTTTCTTGTCGGCCTGCCTTTTGCAAACATTTAATTGTTCCGATTGCCGTTTAATTGTTTCGATCTGCAATATTTGAGATGCCAAAGTCAAAAGTCTTTCGACTTGTGCAGATCAAAGTTCTGCCGCCGTCTCTTGCTACGGTTCTTGGCATATTCAAACCATACCATGCCATACCATTCCATTTCTTTTCATTTCACTCAACTTCTTCAGCTGGGTTATTAAAAGCCGTCAACAACATTATTAGCCAAGACTCGAGAGAGTCGGCATTATGTAAGCCAAGCAATTGTCAAACTGTGAGGGACTCCGGTTTTTATAGAGCTTCTTCTCCGACTTCTGTGACTTCTTCTTCTTCGTCATGTTACGGCAAGCTTTAGACCACGAGTTGTCCAATTAGTTGCTTCCGTAATTTCTTGGTATTATTTTAATTAGTTTTCCGTGGCTAGCTAGATATATGTATATATAATTTCTGTTTTATTTCTCCTTATTTAAATTG